GCTTTTTTCTTTTTGCTTATGTGGTGCTGAGGAATCAAACCCAGGGCCTCAGGCATGCAAGGCAAGCGCTCTACCACTGAGCCAACTTCCCAGCCCTTTTTGTTTTCTTTTGTTAACCTTCTTGCAAATGAATACTTTATACTTTTCTAATGAAGGAAAAACACTTTAAAAAAATCTAGAAGTGACTAGTTATGGGTCAGGTACTGGTACTGGTAGCTCATACTTGTAAACCCTAGATACTTATGATGCTGAAATATCAGGATCACAGTTTGTTCAATGCCAACCTGGACACAAAAGTCCTAAGATTCTTTTTTGTTCAGTCATGGGGCTTGAACTCAGGGCCTGGGCTCTGTCCTTGAGCTTTTTCGCTCAAGGTTGGTGCTCTACCACTTTGAGCCACAGCACTACTTCAATTTTCTGGAGGTTAATTGGAGAAAAGAGTCTCATGGACTTCAGGCTAGCTTCAAACCACAATCCTCCTTCTCGGCCATGTGAGTAGCTAGGATTACAGGTATGAGCCCCCAGTGACTAGCTTCTAAGGTTCTTATCTCCAATTAACCAGCAAAAAAGCCAGAAGTAGAGCTATGGCTCAAATGGTAGAGAGCTGGCCTAGAGCAAAAAAGCTCAGGGACAGTGCAGGCCCTGAAATTCAAGCCCCAGGACTAGCACAAAAAATAAAAAGTGACTACTCATTTAAGAATTCTTTCTTTGCTTAAAATAATCATTCGTGGATTTAAAGAATACAAGTTTGCATTTTGACTGTAGAGCTACTAGTTAGGAAGACTAGAGAAAAATTTGATATCTTAGTTTTCCTTTAATGCTACTATTTCACTTATAAAAGATAAAATCAAAAGGTTGTTTTAGCAGTTTGTTGCATTACTTAAAACATTAAGTGTCATCAAGGGAAATAAATCCTATAAAACAATTATAACAGGAAAAATCTTACATTGTAAAGTAGTATTTGGTAAGTAAACATCAACATCTTGATGCTATTTAGTTGGGTTAGACTAAGATACATTGAACTAATTTACTGAAGTGTGTTAAAAATTGTCTTTTTAATAAGTTTTTAAAAATAATTTTTGTTGTGCTTTTCATTTTTCCTATTTTTTTAACTACGGTGATATAGCAGATTTGTCTTCTGAGTATAAATTAAAAATGAGTGAAGTTCAAGCAATGGTGGAATTTTCTGTGGAGCTAAACAAGTTCTACAATGTGGATTTATTCCAGAGAGGGTATGTATTTTAGTGTGAAAATGATATGTTTTGCATAAGATACAATACACAGTTATAGTTTAAATTTAATTAGATACTTTTGTTTGCTTGTGACTGTAATGAGCATTAAGAGGACTTTAATGAAAACATGTAAGATTTCATATTTGCTCTTTGAGGACTTAGAGCTTAATAGGTGAAGTAAATTACACACCCAGAACATCTAAGTAGAAGTCAAAGTATATATGATGAAGCTTCAATTAAGAATTTATAGAAAGAGCTATAGAATTAGAGCAAAGGGATATAGTTGTGGGTTGGTATGTTAAGTCTTTATGTAGGGTCAGTGCCAAAGTGTGGATAAGACTGGATAGGCATAGATCCTTCCAGTACATAGCCTCACAGATGTAGAGAGTGGTGGGACACATTTTTGTAAGTAGTAATGGCTATGTTATATTTAAGAACATTTAGGAAATAGGGTATTTTCTAGGAGAAAGACAAAAGAAAGGTAATAAAGACAAGGCTTTGCTGTTGAAATGCTCTAGAATTCTTTTCTGAGGTCTAGAAAAGAGTTAAGACTACAGGTTTAGGTAGCTATCTTTCCAAGGAAGAATAAAATGATCATTGTTGTTATAACCAGCACTTACTAAAATGGTGGAGATTGAGCTTGTTAGACTAATGGCTGCATAGAAGTAGAAACAGTAGGGAGCAGTTTAGGGGTATTGGGAGTAACTTCAATTGGTGATGGAGGGATTATGAACAACAGGAGTATGATAAGAAATATTTCCTGTTTTATGGGAATGACTTTGGCACACCCACAAAAACAACAACAAAAACCCATTTTGAAAAAATAAAAAGAGTTATGTGTGTTCTTCTCTACGTAGTCTCCCGTTCTCTTCAAGGCTAGCTGAGCTTGACATGCTGTTCCTTCTCTTATAGAGTATTTGCCAAGAAGGCCATAAAGGCTGACTGGTAGCTTTTAGGGCATTAAAACCCACTTAAAAAACTTTTTAGGTTCCTGTTGTGCCTGATATTGTCCATGCTCCACTGTAAAAACGCATACTCTAATTATTTTTGAGACACCCTTTCTAGATATTATCTTTACTATCTAGGGATCAGTATTCTGTAACTTACTAAAGACCTTTTGTCAAGTGAAGAATGTCTGGTTCCTGCCTTCATTCTTTTTTTTTTTTTTTTGGTCAGTTGCGGGGCTTGAACTCTGGGCTTGGGCGCTGTCCCTGCACTCTTCAGCTCAAGGTGAGCGTTGTACTGCTTGAGCCACAGCACCACTTCCGGTTTTCTGGTGGTTTATTGGAGATAAGAGTTTCATGGACTTTCCTGCACCAGGCTGGCTTTGAACCGTGATTCTCAGATCTCAGCCTCCTGAGTAGCTAGGATTACAGGCGTGAGCCACCCGTGCCCCGGGTTCTTGCCTTCATTCTTTTAGTGACTTTAAGGAAAATCCCATATCCCTTGACTTTATATGTGACTGAGAGTTTCATCTTGGATTTTTTTTTTTGTCAGTCAAAAGGCTTGAACTGAAAAATCTTTTAGGAGATAGGAAGCAAGAACTTGTTTGGAGTTTCAAGTCCTGGTCCCTCTGTCTTTTTTCTAGAGTTTGTATGTAAAATAACTAGTTCTTCCTGTAGACCTCTTCTATCCTGCCCAACCTGCTTTTAGTTAGCTAGGAACAGCTAGTTGGCATTTTCAATTTCTGCTTAGAAGTTAGCTTTCTTGGGTCCTATAGTTTCTTAGGAGGTCGTTTTATAACTTTTCCAGGTTATTGTAGATTGCATATTTCATCACACCTCAAATATGGGTTACCATTTTCCCATTATGCTAAGTTTCTTGATAATTTTTTTGAAATTTATTACTTAATTTTAAGTTTTGTATAGTATACACCAGTGCCTAGATATCAATGTCTGTATTTGTTATTTATTGCCAATAATAATGCAGCCATAACCATCTCACAACAAACACAGCCTCAATGGAATTTGTTCACAAGACTGGATAAGTTACATAGTTCTGATTTGGGCTGGCTTAGCCAATCTTTGCTGGTGCATGTGTGAGTCCACAGCTGGCAGATTCGATGGGTTCTTGCTGAGGCAGACGCAGCAGACACAGCTAGCCTTCTCCTGTGGCTTGCTCTCATAGAGGGTGCAGCAGTCCAAAGAGAAAGAAACGATGCATGGAGATATCTAGCACCTCTAGTTGAAACTGGTATTCCATTACCTCTCCTATAGGTATGTTGGCCAAGACAAACTATAAGTTAGGTCAATAATGGAGAACAACTTTCTCTATATTTTTTCCTTGTAGTGATACTGGTGCTTGAACTCAGGGCTTGGATGCTATCCTTTATCTTTATCACTTAAGGCTGGTGCTCTACCACTTGAGCTACAGCTCCACTTCAGGCTTTTTTGCAGATTAATTGGAAATAAGATTCTCTAAGATTTGTCTGCTTAGGCTGGTTTCAAACCTCTATCCTCAGATCTTGGTCTTGTGAGTGTGAGCTACCAGCACCCTGTGAAATCACTGCTTTAAAAACTTTTAAGAAAAATAATTTTTTAAGAAAAATTTATTTGTAAAAAAAATTATCTTTAGTTGTAAAAAAGGTTTCAATTCAGCATGTCAGTTTATGAGTACAATGTATCTTGGTTAGTGTCACTCCTTACATAGTTTTTACTCCCTGATGGGGGAAAATGTGACAAATCCTCTGTCTTACAGTTTGTGGCAGAAAGCATGGTTCCCTTTCTTTTTGCAAAGGAAAACTTTTGCTTTTGTTGATTCTATATGTTCTCTTTGAATTTAATTGCTTTTGCCTTTTTTAAAAAATCATCTGTCATATAGTCTTTAATATTTGTTTAAGAAGTTGTCTAAGGAAATGGAGAAAACTGAGACCCACAAAGCTAAAGGAAATCCCACAAAATTTAACGGCATCTTTGGTCTGAATCTGCAGGTTTGATTATTTTCAGAATCATATCATACCTGTTATACTTCTTTGAGCATTACTAAATGGGATTTAGAATTTCTATAAATTCTGTCCCAATGGTGGTGCTATGAAAAATCCTCACACTCCAACAGAATTCTGAATTGGCTTTGAGAGCAGGAAACACCAGACCACCAAAAGAGATACATATGGTGCATTTTGCAATTGTAATGTGTCATCTATATGCTGAATCATTATAGCTGATATGTCTGAGTGTCTCATTACCATCTCTTCCTCCCAGCAGGCTTTTCTTTGTGTTTGTTATTGTTTTAGAGACATTCTCAACACTTAGGCCCTGCCAGGAAACACTATCATTCACTCAGCAGGGAAGAAGCACTGCTATTTTTACACAAAAGGTTTCTTAACCCTGTTGGGGCTCAGGGAAGACCCAACACCTGTGTGCCTTCCTAAACACACACACACACACACACACACACACAGAAGACCCAACACCTGTGTGCCTTCCTGAACATATACACACACAGAAGACCCAACACCTGTGTGCCTTCCTAAACACACACACACACACACACACACCCAAGACCCAACACCTGTGTGCCTTCCTAAACACACACACACACACACACACACACCCAAGACCCAACACCTGTGTGCCTTCCTGAACATATACACACACACACAAACATGCACACACACACAGAAGACCCATCACCTGTATGCCTTCCTACACACACACACACATACATACACACACACAGAAGACCCAACACCTGTGTGCCTTCCTAAACACACACACACACACACAGATAACAGTGGTTCATGGCTCCTAATTACTCAATAGACTGAGATCTGAGGATGGAAGTTTGAAGCCAGCCTGGGCAAGAAAGTTTGTGAGACTATTATCTTCAATTAGCTCTCCCCATCCCCCCCAGAAAGCAAAGTGAAGCTGTGGCTTGAGTGGTAGAGTGCTGGCCTTGAGCAAAAAGCTCAGTGTCAGGCCCTAAGTACAAGCCCCAGGACCTTCACATAGAAAAATTGTGGAATGCTAAATCCAAGGGTAAAGAAATACCCATGTGGTTTTTATAATTATCCCATATATGTATGGTATTATACCATTTTGGATTTTCTACATCAGTATACAATAATTAGGGTTTACCCAGTCTTGTCAGCAAATTAAAGGTTGATTATGTCAATCTGATAAGTGAGAAAGGCTATATTTGTTTTTTATGAACTGTTTATTCATACCCTTTTTATTGATTAATTGGTTGTTCTCATTAAAAGAATTTCCATTTTGGGAATATTATGTTTTAGGATTGAAATTAAGATTTTGATGCATGGGTCAGCAAATGCTGTCAGGCCAGAAACCAAAACAAAACCAAAAAAAGAAAACAAAAACAACTTTTACCTTGTTGTGATTTTGCCATTCCTTAAATTTGGGTTAAGATTCTATCCTGTCTTTTTTACAGTAATTTTATAAAGTTACATTTTTGTAGCTTATCTAATAGCTTTTTGTTTTTTTTTTGCAAGAGATTAATATGAATTACCTACTCTAAAAATATACATATTATTTCCTTTATTTTTAAATATTATATTCTCTTATTTGGTATTTTACTCTAAAGATAATTAACATATTCAGATTTTAAAGTTTTCTTGATTTAAAAAGTATACACCTTGGAGGTGACACTAATTTTAATGAAAATGTATTTATGGTAATAGTCTACTTTTTGGTTGTTGGTGGTTGTGGGGTATGAACTCAAGGCCTTGGTGCTGTCTTTGAACCTGTTTGTGCTTGAGGCTAGTGCTCTTCCACTTGAGACACAGCACCACTTACGGTTTTTAAGTGATTAATTGGAGATAAGAGTCTCATAGGGACTTTTTTGCCTCAGCTAGCTTTGAACCACAATCCTCAAAAATCAGCCTCCTGAGTGGCTAGGATTATAGGTGTGAGGTACAGAAGCCTGGCATAGTTTACTTTTATATATTAAATTAAAAGTTAACTTTATTTGAAGTAATGTATATATTTGCTTTTAGAGTTTTATACCTAGTATTTAAACTGGTGGCTATTATATAGATAGGTCTTCAATAAGTATTAAGTTATATGTGTGTATGCAATCTACAAATGATTTAAACTGCATGGAAGAATGTGTAGAATGTGTTAGTAGGAGCTTTAAAAATTCTACATCATTTTATATAAGGGTCTTGAATATCTGGTGTATTTTTATACAGTCTTTGCATATTCTTTCTTATACTTTAAGTCATATATTACTTCAGCTACCTACTACAATGTAAATTTTGTGCAGAGGATTATTGTGTTTTTTAAAAAAATGTTTACTGTATTGTCTAGAAAATAATGACCAAAATAAGTCTGTACCTTTGTGGATGGGCAGATACTTTGGGGTTGGGCTAACAAAAATGATCAAGGAAGTTGAATACACTGAATTAGATTATTTGTACCTGTGAAAATAGAATAATGAAAATTGTTTAAATTGTTTGGGGAAGGAGGGAAAAGGACAATGATAGAGAGTGGGTGAGATTGATTAGAATACTGTATGAACATGTGTGGAAATGTAATTAGTGTAAGTTAAAGAAAAAGTCTGTGTATGTTTAATACAGATATGTTATTTCCCCAAATATTATGACTTACAGTTGGTTGAACTAATAGATACAGAAGACCAATTATGATATTTTAATGGTATGTGTTAAATGGAGAAGTTTCACTTAAAAAATTTAACATAGAACATGTTATTGGACATTCTAGAACATTCTGGTAAACCAATGGCCATGGGAAACACTTTGCAGTAAGCTTTTCCACAAGATTTTAGTGGGTTTTTTCCCTTTTCTAATTTTCATTTTAAAATACAATTACTAACAAAAAGTCCAAGAAACAAATCCAGTAGTGAGATACAAAAGACCAAATATAGTATTTTAATGGTATATATTAAATAAAGAAGTTTCACTTAAAAAAATGTAACATAGAACATGTTATTGGACATTCTAGAACATTCTGGTGAACCAATGGTCATGGGAAACACTTTGCAGTAAGCTTTTCCACAAGATTTTAGTGTTTTTTCCCCTTCCTAATTTTCATTTTAAAATATAATTACTAACAAAGAAGTCCAAGAAACAAATCCAATAGTGTACATATTATTTAAAGACTCTTTTTCATCTGATACTTGGTCACATGGTCTGTATACAGAGCTAATTATGAGTTTTCATACACACAGTTTGCTACTGGACTGAATCCACATGTACTCAGTGATTCACTATTTCTACTTTTTCTTGGAAACAGGAATGAGTACTCACAACAAAGTAAAAATATAAAGACAAATTATCTAGTCAGGTTTGTGCGTGCGTGCGTGCGTGTGTGTGTGTGTGTGTGTGTGTGTGTGTGTGTGTGTGTGTTGGTTATAGAGCTTGAATTCACGATGTCATCTGAGACAAAGCTGCCACTCTACCACTTGAGCCTGCCTTTTACTCATTAATTGGTCATAGGAGTCTCACAACCTTTCCTGCCTGGGCTGGCTTCCAACTGTGATCATGAGATCTTAGCCTTTTGAGTAGCTGCTATAGAGCCTATCTTGGTGATTCCTTTTTTTCCCGTTGGTTGTGGGGCTTGAACTCAGGGCCTGGGCACTATCTCTGGGCTTTTGTGCTCAAAACTAGTGCTCTACCACTTTGAGCCTCAGCTCCACTTCCAGTATTTTGGCAATTAATTGGAGATAAGAGTCCCATGGAGTTTCCTGCCTGGCTGGCTTCAAACTTCAATCCTCAGATCTCAGCTTAGAGTAGCTAGGGTTACATGTGTGAGCAACCAGTACCCAGTCTCAGCTTGGTGATTCTTGATATACATTATTTATTATGTATCAGTTAAATAGAATTTCCTAGCCAGGTGCCAGTGGCTCAACGCCTATAATCTTAGCTACTCAAGAGGTTGAGATCTGAGGATAACAATTTGAAGCCAGTCCGGGTAGGAATGTCCATGATACTTTTATCTACAATTAATCACAGAAAAAGCCAGAAGTGGTACTGTGACTCAAGTGGTTAAAAGGAGTCCAGTGACAATACCCAGGCCCAGAGTTCAAGCCCCAGAACTAGCTATGTATATACATACATACATAGATACACACATTTTCCTTCCTGACCAAAAATAAAAAGCAAATAGGTTTACCAAAAATAAAAATCAAATAGATTTTTCTGTACAGCTGGCTTTATTTTCATGTAAACATTAAATAATAATTACTATAAATAATTACATATTTTATAGGTTATAATGTAATGTTTCATGTACATATAAATTGTGGTGTGATTTAATCAAGTTAATTAACACCTCACAGACTTATAATTTTGTGACTACAATAGTTAAAGCCTATCTATGTAGTAATTATCTTTTAAAAGAAAAAAGTTAATAACCTAAATTAAACAATAAAACTCTTAAATGCCTTTCTAATTCCTTTTTAACTCTTTCACATAAAGTAAAAAGTTATATGTTATATATGTATAATTTCTTATTTGTTTTAGTTATCTTTATGCTTGCTGGACTTCTATCATACTAATAATGACACGTAGGGCTGATGATAAGTTTTTCCCACTGATAATAAATGTTCTGTAGACTGATATGATTAGGTCAACCTTATTATTTTAACACATATAACATGTAGAAGTTTGAACAAAATGTATTTTCAAATATGTTTTGAAATTACTTCCTTATTTCTTTGCTTTAGTTTTTACCAGATTCGTGCATCTATGAGAATTCCACCAAGGATTCCCCATAGAGTAGAAGCCAGTTTGTTACATGTAACAGGTGAGCCAAACAATATTTTCAACTTAAAAAAATCTGAAGTAACATAAAAATCAGTATGTTTTCATAATTTTTTCTATTAGAAATATTATTTTAAAGAACAGTATCATTATTGTATCTTGTATGCTGGTCTCAGTAGGTCACACTTGTAATCCCAGCTGTTTAGGAGGATCTTAACTGGTGGCCACCCTTGTCAAAAAGTTAATAAGACTCTATCTCAACTAGTAAGCCAAGCATAGCAATATGTTCCTGTGATCCCAGCTACAAAGAAACATTGGCAAAAGGATCAACATCTAGTTCTTTCCCCAGACCAAAATCTTGAGACCATATCTGAAACACAACTAAAGCAAAAAAGGCCTAAGAGATTGTGGCTCAAGTATAGAATGCCTTGCCTCGAGTTCAAATTCTAGTACTAGCTGGGTGCTAGTGGCCTACTCCTGTAATCCTAGCTACTCAGGAGGCTGAGACCTGAGGATCATGGTTTATAGCCAGCCCAGGCAGAAAAGTCCATGAGACTCTTACCTCCAATAAACCACTAGAAAACTGAAGTGGCGCTGTGGCTCAAGCGGTAGAGCGCTTGCCTTGAGCTGAAGAGCTGAGGGAAATGTCCAGGCCCAGAGTTCAAGTTCCACAACTGATACACAAAAAAAATTCTAGTACTGCCCCCAAAAGAAAAAAAGTCATCTCTTAGAAGAAATAGACTTGAGCTTTCAATAAAATAGCCTTGGTTGAGTTTCTTATAATGACTAGGACACATAGCAGGATTCAAAGACTTACACTAAATAATTAATTGGGCATTTTTCAGTGTTCCTAATATAGCATGCAGGTTTTGCATCCTTGATTGAAAAATCTGAAACTTGAAATGCTTCCAAATTGGAAACTTTGATTACCAACCTGATAGTGCAGAAAATTCTGCACTAGGAGTGGAACCTTCCTAGTGGATCCCTCACCTAGTGTTCTTGAAGTCCTGAGTTTTATCCCTAGCAGAGTGGGCTTTGTGGGGAGGGAGAGAAAAGAGAAAACTCCACAGAATGTAGATAATTTGCAGTTAAAATGATAATTTACTAAAATAATGCATAAAATTACTCTTTGGATATAAAAACAGGAACATTATATGTGCTTTGTAAAATATAAAAGGATAATCTCATGTATATGGAGATATTCCACAATCCAAAAATCCAAAGTTAGAAAGTTTTCCAAGCATTTTAGATAAGGGATACTTAGCCTATCGTAGGCTAGCTTATTCAGTACACTTAGGAAATAAAATAGTAAAACATTTTAAAGAGTTACTATAAATCTGATATTACAAGTTTTTAAAGCATTATAAATGCATACATACATATTTTAATGTTATTAGTAATGCTGGACATATGTGTGTTTATTAACTATATTGAGCTAGCTCTACCAAGCTCTGCCAAGCTCTACCACGCATGATTGAGTTCATTTTTAAAGAAATTTGCTGAGAATGTGAATTGGCTAGGATTGCCTTTTTAAAATCATACTATGGATGATAAATTCTGCTAGTTTATGTTACATTTTGAGAAATTGTACATAGTAAAGAGTTTATCTGAAAGATTATCAAAATGTTCAGGAAAGCTTGTTGCTTCTGGCTGTAAAAAAGAAAAATAGCTTTGTTCTCTTAAAAAGGAAAAAGAATAGTCTTTTCTTTGGCCTGATGTATCTTAATCTATATGCTTATTGTCATAATAGGCCTTCTTTTCTAAGTCTGAGTATCTGATGTTGCAAAATGGACTTGGTACTTCTCTTTGAATTTTCTTAAATCTAGTACAATAAATCTCTTTCTTGGTTATGTACTCTGAAGTTCTGTTTAAAAAAACAAGACAGGGCTGGGAACGTGGCTCAGTGGTAGAGCGCTTGCCTTGCATGCATGAGGCCCTCAATTCCTCAGCACCACTTAAGCAAAAAGAAAAAAACCAGAAGTGGCGCTGTAGCTCAAGTGGTAGAGCACTAGCCTTGAGCTGAAGAGCTGAGGGACAGCGCCCAGGCCCAGAGTTCAGGCCCCATGACCGGACTCAAAAGCAAATAAAAACAAAAACAAAAAAACAAGACAAAGCAACTCAGACTTCATTTGTGAGATGTTCCACGGTGACAGGGTATTAGATGTAAGTTCAAAATGTTAAGTAAGTTCTTTTAAGGGGTGGTATCAGCTACTTCTTTGTTAAGATATTTGAAGATTATACCACCTACATTACTTCTTAATATTGAAGTTTTCCTCATATGACAACCTGAGAAGGTTTTTTTTTTTTAAAGAAAAGGAAACATTTTTTGAATCAAAGTCAATACTTTCTTTTAATATCTGCAAGCCAATACTGAACTTACTTTATTCAAGAAAGAACACAATGTACAAAAATTATGTTTACAATTATAAAATGTATCAATTTTATCTTCTGGGTGCTGAGCAGAAGTAATTTTAAACAAAAGGTAAACTTGTTCTCTAAAATGAAACTGTTGTAATTTAACAATAGAGGTGAAAGTGAATGTACTCATGAAGTAAAGTGTTTAAAGGCCCACCGATAGCACTGTCTAAGAGGGCTATGGTCAGTACCTCTGCTCTAAGCTTAGAGTGCACTTCCTGCCTGCATGGCAGAAATGCTTCATTCAGAATGCAGGTGGCCACTCACAGACCCACATGGAGATCATGCCTTCATTCCTTCCCCCTCGCTTGCCAATTGTTAGCACATTTCAATCAAGTGAGTTTGAGTATGAAAATCCTATTCATTTCAACTTTAAAATGAGATACACTGGCATAGGGAACAAATGGGCTCCCAGGGTTTACAGTCCCACTAATGAAGGTGAAAAGTGCCCTCTGCATCTGAGAGGGTTTTTTTTTTTTTAAAGAGTTAACAATCTATCCTTTTGTAATTTTTTATATTTTGATTCTGTTTAATTTTTTATTAATGAAATAGAATCACTATAAAAATATTTAGATGTGAGATCATTTAGTTTGCCCAGAGTAATCTAATCAAATGGAAAAAGGGAGATAAGAAGATAAGAATTCTGGGCTGGGAAGGTGGCTTAGTGGTAGAGTGCTTGCTTTGCATGCATGAGGCCCTGGGTTCGATTCCTCAGCACCACATAAACAGAAAAAGCCGGAAGTGGCGCTGTGGCTCAAGCGGTAGAGTGCTAACCTTGAGCTGAACTGCTGAGGGTCAGCGCCCAGGCCCAGAGTTCAGGCCTCATGACTGGACTCAAAAAAAAAAAAAAGAAGATAAGAATTCTAGAAAGAAATGGGATGCAAACATAGGTAAAAACACATAAATTGTAAGTTCTTAACAAATGAGATTAGTTGAAAGGCTGAAAGAAATGTACCAGAGGAAAAACAATGCTTGCTTACCTAATTTTGATTATTATTCAATAATATAAAATAGTATTAATAGTATCAAATTCTAATACCTCCTTGTTCATGTTAGGTGTGATTTTGCTTTATCCTTTCATTATTAACTCGTAGATAATAGATACCATATTTAAGAGATTGAAAACTATTAAACCTGATACTTTTTCTTGTTTTGGTAGGTTTTTTTGTATTGTTTGTTTTTTAAATTGGAACCTTACATTTGCTAGGCAAGTGCTCTGCCACTTGAGCCATGTGGTGGCTACAACTGAAACTGTCTTACTCTTGGTTTCAAATCATTAGGTGATGGCTGTGGTGAAGGTATTCAATAAAGACTTAGACATGAGATGCCTTTCACTATTGTAACAGTTCAAGCTGGACACAGTGGCTCATGCCTGTAATCCTAGCTACTCAGGAGGCTGAGATCTGAGGATCACGGTTCAAAGTCAGCCCGGGCAGGAAAATCCGTGAGACTCTTATCTCCAAAAACCACTAGAAAACCCGAAGTGGTGCTGTGGCTCAAGTGGTAGAGTGCTCACCTTGAGTCAAGCTGAGGGATAGCACCCAGGCCCAGAGTTCAAACCCCATAACTGACAAAAAAAAACAAACAAACCCAAAACAAACAAAAGAAACATAAAAAACCAAACTAACACTCCAATGGCAAGTAGTAGCCACTCACAGATCAAGTTGGTATATGCAATAGCAGTGTGGGACTAGAACCCTGGGAGTTGGTGCATGGCACTCACCGAAGGGAGTGCATGGGCTGTGGGGAAGGAGGCTGGTAGGAGAGGTGGGAAAATCCCTTGAGGCTAGAATATGAGGCCAGAGTTCAAAGGTTGGAGTCCATGAAGAACTGAACTCTTATTTGAGTATCTTCAGCTGAAATTTTATGGCCTGTTTTGGGGGTCTTATTTAAGACCACCTAACCGTAATAGGGTTGATATTTTAGCATGTCCTGACTACCTTGGAGTTGGCTCTTTAGCTTTGTGGGTGGCATTCCTTTGCCTTGTATCCTGGAACAGGGTGATGGCAAGGGGGCGGGGAGGGGAAGGGGATGGAACATCTGGTCAGTAGGCTATCTGGTCCATGGGTGGAGTGTGCATGGTTTAGATGGCTGCTTGTGAGCTTGCCCTATGTTTTGCTGGTGACTGACTTACGTAATACCCATGACTATCTCCTTGCCTTGTAAGCATGTCAGAAATGTTTTTAATCAATCATTGATTTTTATCATTTATCACCTTTATCAGGAATATTCTCTCCATTTTATTCAGACAGAAGCATTCTATACTAGGCTTGCTGCTGCCCTACTTCCTTATCCCAATCCCACCTGGCAGTCTTTCTTGTCCCCTTTGGCCTCTAAGGCTATTTATCTCATATTCTATTAGCATATAATTTCCTATAATATACATATATATATATATACATATATATATGTATATATATATATATATATCCTATTATGTGCCCTACAATACTGTGAAAGCAGATTGAATGGCCCAACATGAATGACACAGAGGCCAACCAAACTTCACAGGTGAAGGTAACTGTCCTTGATAAGATTGCCCTAGTGTTAGATCCAACCTTGAGTTTGAAAGTTTGCAAACTACCCTCATTTCTGACCAGCTGGCATCAGATTTATGGGTTCTCATTATTTATGGTTGACAATTCACTAGAAAAACTTCACAAACTCAGAAAAATGCTATACTTACTATTCCAGTTTTATTTACTTTGCTGTAACCTACAAGTCACTACCTCAAGATTTCTGCTTTTAGCTTTCCGATTAAAAAAGTCATAGTTTTAAACTGTTACAATGTTTATTCAATTTCCATCATAGAAATTAAATATTCAGAAACGTTCTAATCTGTATAAAACAGTAGCAAAAGTAGAGTAACAGACAATATAATAGATTATTTCTTTACATGAAAGTCTTTAGTAGTTATTATATTTTGTCTTTTACATGCAAATTATGTATCTTATCTGTTTTAGGTATGTCTCTAGCCTTTCCGGCTTCAGTTCATGATTCTTTGATTTGCAGCAAAACATTTCAAATTCTATACAAAAATGAAGAGGTGGTTTTAAATGATGTAATGATCTTCAAAGTTAAAATGTTGTTGGATGAAAGAAAGGTAAGTCTCTTTTTCTCTTTCATTGTATATGCATACACATTTTTTGTAAAGCTTTAAGGCATATCTAACTTCTTTTACATATTAAAAAATCACCTCATACTATAATTTCTTCTTTAGATTGAAGAAACTCTTGAGAAAATTAATTTTCTATTATGCTTGGATCTATACTTCACAGATGGAGATTATTCGTAAGTAGGCTATTAAAGTAATCTTTAAACTGTTTAGTTCTTAATATTTGTTACATTTCTGTTTTTTGGAATCTAGCCTATCTGTTTTCTATCTATTTTGAAGTACTTCTGCTTTTTCTGAGAGGCTCATAAACCAGATTTTTTTGTGCCCATGATGATTTCATGAGCTCTAGGTAGTAATATCAGACAACTTGAAGGAATGTGAAACAGTTGCCTAAACTCTGCCAATTAGGTTTGCTGGTTATGAGTAATTCACTGATTTCTAGACCCCTTACCAGGTATTTAGAACTTGGTACTGTGAATTTGCCAGCACAGTTAAGTCATTTTAGGTATAAATTGCACTGATACTAACTTAAAACAAGAGTCAGTGATATATTTTGCAATTTCATTTTTAGAGGGTTTCTTTCCTTCTATTTCAAATGGAGTTTTAGAAATGCTTCTTGAAATTTGTATGTAAATTCGTATTTGAGAGGCTGAGAATGAATGAGAGAATTGTGATTTGAAGCCAATCCAGACAGAAAAGTTTGCAAGACTGCTTCTCAGCCTATAGCTTGACAGAATGTCATGTGCCTACCATCCTATTTACATGGGAAGCTGAAACTGAAAAGATCAAAGTTCCAAGGCCCACCCAGGCAGAAAAGTCTGAGGACTCCATCTCAATAAAAGGAAGGTGGACATGCTTGTTGTCCCAGCAGAAATAGGAAGCCTAAAATAAGTGGATCTCCATCCAGATGTGCACCTGAAGAAAGAATTGAGATCCTGCTTTTAGAACAACAACAACCAAAAACCCCAACCCCCCCAAAACAGAAAACAAGCTAACATAATTTAAATATGGTTTGAAGCTTGCAAGTGTGAGTTCAACCCCCAGTACCACATAAATGAAAAAGAAAAAAAGAAAATTATATGTAAATTCCGATTGTACATAGTGCTATAAGTAATAGTATTACTGAAATGTCTGCTTTATTTTTCCTCATCCTGGATGATTTGGTTAACTACTCTGTAATACCTGTTCATTACAAATTTATTTTTTTATTTTTTTTTTGGGTCCGCTTGTGGAGCCTGAACTCTGGGCCTGGGCACTGTCCCTCAGCTCTTCAGCTCAAGGCTAGCACTCTACCACTTGAGCCACAGTGCCACTTGCGGCTTTTTTCTTTTTGCTTATGTGGTGCTGAGGAATTGAACCCAGGGCCTCATGAATGCAAGGCAAGCGCTCTACCACTGAGCCACCTTCCCAGCCCTCATTACAGATTTTTTTTTGTTTTTTGTCAGTCGTGCGGCTTGAACTCTGGGTCTGGGCTCTGTCCCTCAGCTCTTCAGCTCAAAGCAAGCGCTCTACCTCTTGAGCTACAGCGCCACTTCCCATTACGAATTTTTTAAACCCAAATGGGGTTTGTTGGAGTATACAGCTCCCTGGGATCTTAAATTATATTTAGAAATAATTTTCATAACATTGTTTTTGTATGAGTACCTTTTAGTGACAAGCTAACCATAATAAAATGCCTTTCATTGTAATGAATAAGCAATGGTTTAATTGCACAAAATTTTATACAATGAAAATAATTTGATTTTCTTGGGGGATTTATTGCAATAGGACTTGACTTCTGTTATATTACAATCTTATATGCTTTATGTACTAAAATTTACTTTAAGCTATAAGCTTCCTGTCTCCATTTAACCACCGAAAAGCTGGAAGTAGATCTGTGGCTCAGTGGTAAGGCATTAGCTTTATAGCAAAAAAGCTGAGGAATAGCTTAGACCCTGAGTCCCAACTGTTAAGGCCAGCACATACACATATACTCACACACACACACACACACACACACACAGATATTATCAATTTTACAAAAGGGAATTGGTTTAATATTTTTGTCAGTTGTAAGTAATCTGTAAAACCTTAGCCTTTGCTAAATATTTCATACTTACATGCAAATTTACTTTTTTTAATAGGGCAGATGATCTGAATGCTTTACAACTAATAAGTAACAGAACTTTGAAGCTGCACTTTAGCCTCTACAGAGGGATTCATCATCATGTTAATGTTATGTTTGATTATTTCCACCTTTCTGTGGTATCTGTTACAGTTCACGCATCACTGGTTGCACTACATCAGCCACTAATAAGGTAAACTGAACTAGTATCTTAGTTCTTATTAATTGAATGCCTTTCATTTTCCTGGTGAACACATATTTTGATAAAGGTAGTTGAAAATTATTTACTAATAATTAAAAATTTTGTAATTGTTACATGTTTCTGATTTTATACAAAAGTTGCACAAAAATGATACAGTAATAAGATTCAAGAGCATGGAGCCATTTGATGAGTAGCTTTTTTCTATTACAGAAGATGAAACAAACTTTGTCAGTCCAAAGGAGTTGACCAAGTTAAAAAAATAGTTTAGAAATAGCTATGTAGTATTGGTTCATCTGTATCTATGAGGCTTTTTTGTCTCTTTTCTAGATAGGTTAATTTACCTCCTTAACTCATAATTGCTTTCTAAGACATTAACCAATTGTATAGATTTTTACTAAGATTATGTGACTGTTATTCATGTACTGTTTTAGTTACAAAAGTGTGTAATCATATAAATGCCTTGGGCTATTTTTTTCTGTCCCTTCCATGGGGAGACAAATTATTTTCAAACAATGCAAGAATATAATTCAAGCCTTTCACACAATAAAACATTGTTGGTACACTCTGCGCAGTAGATGGACTCTTCAGATAAGTAATTTATATGGAAATACTCCAATTGGTTTAATACTAATTTGATTTTGACAGTTATTATAAGGAATGATGCTTAAGGGATAGGACATAAGATTATTTATCAGAAAGCATAACTAGGTCAATTTGTATAATTGCTCTGAGAATTTATAGAAGCCTGATACCAGTGAACATTTAACCACAAGTAATAGCCTCTGGCTATTAATTATATTGTCTATATTATGTATTATATAGCCTCTGGCCTTTGATTATATTGTTTTAAAGACCATAATTGAGAACATCTTCCACTATGTTGCTCCCTGTTCTTTTGTTGAGATCATCTTGACTCAATTCTTTTTATAGTGCAGAGCCAGGAATAAGATTGTCCTTGCCTTGCCTTCCTTATTCTATAATAAGATCTATAGCTGATTTTGTTGCCATCATTGTCTTTCCTATTAGGTCTTGTGAAGTTATATTCAGTTTCTACAGCATTTATAAATTGGAGAATATTTTTTTAATATAAAATTAATTTATAAACTTAAGTTTAAGTTTTGAAATAGATTAGTATATAATGAATTCTAAGGAAAACTTCCTTAACAAGTTATATTTATAAAAATATTAACTCCAGAAATGTAATTCCAATATAAATTACATATTAAGATTTAATGCCAAAAGTTTATTTTCTATAGTTTTCTAAATCTCTTCTTTTTTCCAGTTTTAATTTTTAAGTAACTGAAAAAATTAACAGAAACATGATGATACTATGGGACTCATACTCTTACAAAACACTGTTTTTTTGTAATATTTTCTTTTGTAAGTATCTCACCCTGAAATAGACTATTGAGACAATAATATTGTACTTCTTATTTCTTCAGCTTCCCTCGCCCTGTGAAGACTACTTGGTTAAACAGAAATGCACCAGTACAAAACAAAGATTCTATGATTCCCACTCTGGAAAGTGTGGTTTTTGGTATTAACTACACAAGACAGTTATCACCAGATGTAAGAACTAGCTATGTTTGTCATCCTTTCCTTATTTTTTACCCTTTTTACTTAAAAGAAATACTTTAAACTATTTTATGTGTAGATGTGGTATTTCTTTGATTAATTATTTGAGATTAGCAACTTACAAACCTAATTAAATATGACCATAATTAATCTCTTAGTTACCCATTATGAAAGTCAACTTGATATTTCAAAATTTTACCAAATTTAATGTATAGAAATCTTATACTTACTATCATCCTTGTTCTCTTAACGGAATAAGTAGAAATGTTCCAAAGGGGGTTTTAAAAACAATGACAAATGTATTCCCAACTTGGAATAGTTCAAGTGTAGCCATTATTATGAAAGGAAATGGAGCTTGTATTATAAAATATAAAAATAAAGTGTCCTTCAGTCCAAAGTTAGTATGTAGGGCATGTTACCAAAACAATTTAACCTGCTTGTTTATAAAAATGCACTGTAGCTGAAATTTCTGCTGTCATATGTTATGTGTTTAAATTATGCATATGAACAACTTTGCAATATATTTCTGAATTTTCCATATTTTAGAAATTGTCAAATATGTAGTTTTATACTTCTTAATATTTTTAAGCCTCAAGTGTAATATTTCTAGATTTCTGATTTTAACAATTGACATTCTGTTCCTTCTTTAGGGCTGTAACTTCCTCATTGCAGACTCTTTCCTACACCATGCTTATCATTTTCATTATACACTCTGTGCCACTTTGCTACTGGCCTTCAAGGGATTGCACAGCTACTTCATTACGGTAACAGAAGAGATTCCCTCTTGTCAGAAACTAGAACTGGGTATGTGAAAATTAGCCAGATCTGCATTTCAATTCAAGTCCTTTTCACTCTTCTGTTGCTATTTATCTCTACTAAAACTATTTTCTTTATACACGCTTCATTTTTATTTCTCCCTTAGTTCCATCTTTAGTCAGTCCTCGATAAACATATTTTGAAATTTAAGGTTATTTGTTATAATGTTGAGATATAACTTCTTGGTGCCCAATTTGAAATGAGTCTTTTGAGTAGATAAAAAAATTTGCATGTAAATAAATTACCTATGAAATAGGAAAAAAGTCAGATTCTACTTCCAAATATTTAACAATCAAAATAGATTGTAGTTACTTGGAACATTTTTGTATATGTTTATATCACTTTAGGGAATAATAACATTACTCAATATTTTAACATTTTGGAAATTAAATCATTAAAAAAAAATCACACTTCAGATTTAATCCAAAGTGAAATATCTACTTATATGTTATCATAATAAAAATCATACTGCCTTGATTTTGTATGCTATTTGTAGCTTGCAAATACCGCATTTCACAGAGGAGAAATTATTGGAGATGGCAATTTTTTAATCCAAACTTCATATGGTAGGTAGTTTTATTAGCTTTTATTTACATATGGCAGCTTTAAAAACAGGGTATTATCTCTTCAGCGTAAGTTCTATCATTACATACTTGAGTAAGTCAGGAATTGCTTTTATAGTTTTAGTTAACAGTAACTGAGGGGGCAATTCATGCCTGTAATTCTAGTGCTTGGGAGACTGAAGCAGGAGGATTTTGAGTTCCTGAACAGTTGGGGTACATAGTGAGATCCTTACTTAGAAAACTTTTAAAATTTAACTAAAATGCTCTTCTTTTTATATTGATCTGTTCCTCAAGAATTCCAATATTGGATCAATATCAGTATTGACTAAAATAGTAACTTACTGAAAGTAATTCTTGGGTTTGAGCCTTTTAGGTTATAAATGTTGTGTTTGGTTATAAAGCAATCACAGTTGTAAAGATTTGCACCCCACTTCAATTCAACTGTGACAAATGCTGGATATTGTATTATATATTAATATTATATATTATTATATATTATATTATATCACTGCCTACCTATCAGGGGCTAGTCTTTTGAATTTGATTAGTTTCATTATGTAATCAGTCCAGCTCACACTTTCTTCACCTGATTAGACTGTGTCATGTGTCATTAACTGTTTACTTGATTCATTAATCCCCAAGTGTATACACATACACAAGCAGTAGGTACATGAGTTTTGTTTAGGGTTTTTTATGGCCATATATTGTGCCTTGTGTACTTAGAATCCCTCCATTTATTACCCTCAGAATAATTTTTTGGGAAATTGTTACCTTAGATGTAAATTATTTTAAATGTTGTTTTGTGTAGGAAAGAATCATTTATAAAGCTAATTTATAGAGCTAATACATAGAGCTAATTTAGGCTATCACTTACCCTCAGTGGCACAATAATGTTTCAGATATTTTTAATTTGGTAAGTTGGAACTCAAAAACATTTTTTGTAAAATTGTAAGTTTTGGCTAGGTTTAATATTACCAGGCCAAAAATTATTAAACCACAGTATTAAAGAAGGACAGTATCATTTTCCAGAAAAGTACTATTTATGAAGTGCAGTGAAATAAAACTTAAAAACCACTTGATGATATCTCAAGGAAAGTTATTAGTAGTTTCAGTGTGGAATGCCATAGTAGAAATCAAGAAGCCATGGAATCTATTTCTGTTACTTACTTTACATCTAAGCACAGAGTGTTTTCCTTTCTCAAGGGAAAGTGAGTTAGAAATGTAAGGACTGCATAATTTCCTAGACTTTTTATCAGCACCTGCTAAGTCAGGCACTGTGCTGGGTACTGGAGAAAGAAGACACCTCTGTCTTTAAGGAACTTTGACTCATCCCTCTCCTCTAACAGCAACAATAATAAAAAGCCAGCTCAGCTTGAGAGGTGAGCAGGAGAAACTCATCCAGTAAAACAAGGCTTCATATGGCTTTAATATATGAGAATGGATAATAAATTTGTGTAAAGAAGATATCTGTCTGCATAATACATTCAAGTAGATTTTACATCTAATATTTACAAATGAAAATCACATTACTCACATTTAACCTAGGAAAGAATATTTCCCAAAATTTAGTAAATTATTGAGTGCCAGTGGCTCACACCTGTAATCATAGGCTCCCACGAAGCTAAGATCTAAAAGATGGTAGTTGAAGCTCAGCTCAGGCAGCTAAGTCCATGAGACTCCATCTCTAAAATAAGTAACAAATGGCAGGGCTGGATGTGACTCACATGGTAAAAAGCCAACAGAGTAAGCAAGCTAAGCCAAGTGAGACCCTGAGTTCAAATCCCTCCAATACTGAAAAAAAACAGCAAAAATGTAAGAATTATTGATAAAATTTGTAGTGAGTAATTAAACAAAAGCATTGCTCTTTTCAAAGTCAAAACCCCTATGTCAAATAGTGTAGACATTGTTAGCACTTTTTTAAAACTATTAATTTAACTTCAGCATGATTATTATTACATTCAGTTTTATTATAGGAGATGAGGATTACTTTTATTTGTATAACTTTGAGCTTACATGTGTAATACAAACATTATAGTAAAAATGGCATATGATTTCAGAGATCAGTTTCCAAATGAATATAAATCATATTACAAATTATTTAAAATATTTCATCAGCAAACAAAATTCTAGAGCAAGCCCAGATTTCAGTTTTACATATGTAAATCATGGAATTATAGACTTAAAATTATTAGTTCCAGCCAGGCGCCAGTGGCTCATGCCTGTAATCCTAGCTACTCAGGAGGCCAAGATGTGAGGATCATGGTTCAAAGCCAGGCTGGGCAGGAAAGTCCATGAGACTCTTATCTAGAAAACTAGAAGTGGCACTGTGGCTCAAGTGGTAGGGCGCTCTCCTTGAGTGAAGAGCTGAGAGATAGCGCCCAGGCCCAGAGTTCAAGCTCCACAACCACCACCAACAACAAAAAGTATTAGTGCCTTACATATATATTTATTTAAAATATATTTGAATAAATGAATAGTTGAAATAGCATAGTACAGTTTTTATAACATGAAAACATTCCTATTTCTTGAAAAAGTTTAGCCATCAACACATAGCTTGTTTTGTAAGAATTAAAAAAAAAATGAGACTCATTGATAATACTGTATCCTCTTAAACTTTTCTATACTACTTGTACTTTCTTTTTATTATGAATTTTACTTTATTCTTGAATTCCTTCTCTAGAAGAATATGTGAAAATGCTATTAACTATTTAAAATAAAGTGATTAGTTGCCTCTTAAACATTATCATATTCTTCAGATTTAATAATTAGGCCTAAAGTAGTTCTTGATTAGAAATTGTATTATGTGTCCTATTAAAATTTAAAATTCTTACACTCTACCATGCTTTAAAAATTTTAGCTAAAGTCTCTTCCCTCTTTAAAAAATAAAAACCTTAATTCTTTTCTGCTTTTTGCCTTTTTTCGTAGATGAATGATGTACATTTTTTTTTTTTTTGGTGATAATATAGTTGAGTATTGGCTTGAGGCATTGAGCTCAACTAAAAATGAGAGTTAGGACTATAGGAATCTAGATTTTGGCAAGTCATAATATCTATTCTTATGAAAGGAGAAAACTGCACTTGCTGAGCTATTAGATTCCTGCTAGCCCTAAAACTCTTCATTCATAGGGCTGGAGGTGTGGCTCAAATGGTAGAGCACTGGCCTAGCATGTGGAAAAACCCATCTCTAGTTTTATAAGAAAAGGAAAGAGAAAAAGAAAAATTAAACATAATGAAATTGAAATAAGGTTTTGAGTGACACATTTAAATTAGAAAAAACTAATATAAATTGAATGTACATCATTTGTAATTCTGATAAGCTAATTCACTAACTTTTCTATTAGATCAATACTAAGTCTCTTATTAACAAGTTGGAAAATTCTAGTAAATTTTGTTGTCTGAAGAGTATAGTAACTAGTGCTGTGTGCAATCCTTACAACTAGCCAAGGCCAACATGCAGGTCCTCTATGAGCGCCTTCTCAGAAGAAAACAGTCAAGAACCCAGAAAGACATCAGTACAGTAGGTATGTTTACAAATAGGCTAATTAAATCCCTTTAATCAGTATTAAATTTTGTTCAGTGTCAGATTTCATAAATGTATTTATTAATGTATCCTTACCACTTTTTCTTAAAAAACTTATCTTGTAGAATCAATTTGGCTTATTGATAATTTTAGATTAATTTCTTAATCGATTTGTAATATTGATTTTTTCTTCAAACTGGAAATGGTAATTAAAAAGATGTCTCTCGCATTTTCCATATTCTTTTGAGTATCTCCAAAGACCACCATTTCTAAAGCAAGGATTGGCAAGATTGGCTGGGCAAGTGATATTGCCTTAAATTTGCTTAAAGTAATTATCTTTACATAGGTTTGTTTACAATGAAGTATGATTTAAAAACTAAACCTACTTTAATTCATTGCAGAAATAAATGTCTTTAGTATTTGGTTTTGGTATTTAAATTATAAATTATATATTTCTTTTTAAATGATGTTCCATATATTATATAAATCAGTATGTTTTGAAGATGGGTTAGTTAAGCTGGGTGCTGGTGGATTATGTCTGTAATTACAGCTATTTATTAGGCTAAGGTCAGAGGATCACTCTTCAAGGCAAGCTTGGGGAATAAAAGACAGTAAGATTCTATCTCTGATTAACTAGGGAAAAAGCCAGGCTGGAGGTATGGCTCAAGTGGTAGAGCACCAACAATGAACAAGAAACCCGAATAAGAGCTTGAGACACTAAGTTTGAGCTCAAAACTGCCAAAAATAAAAAGGCTTAGTTATACAGATAACTAACTTTTTAGGAATAAATTTTATAAAAAGTGGAGTACATAAATATAACATTAAATATTAAATAGGATATTATCAAATATTAACTGCAGTGAAAGCTGATTGTATGATTTGTTTTGTCTAAGGCAGTTTTGCAAGTTACCTTACATACAGTTAATATTTTATTGACAGTGTTAACCTCTTACGAAAACTGGAGCACATACCATTATCAGAATGTCCAATAATTTCATAATTCTCTTACCTCATTAATGTGTATTTAACTAATGGAGAAATACTACTTTGAACTTTATTGAGAATAGCATAGGTATTTAGATATTGTGAGCTTTCTAAAGGGAATTTATGTACATAATTTCAAAGCTAGTTTTCAGGTCTAACCCTGAAATATTTCCTCTAATTACTTTTTATTCCTTTCAGAGGAAATAGATGTAGAAGCTCGACTTGCTGAACTATGTGAAGAAGTTAAGGTACTTGACTTTCAAAAATTCACATTATCAAGTTATTTGAGTGATTTCTTTTTCCTGTTCTAAGCATTTTGCTTAAGAAAACTTATTTATCTGAACTTGTAAAGATATATTGGTTCACCATAGTGGGAGTAGACAATTTAGCTGATCAAAACTTGTTTTTCTGCAGCATAAAGTTAATTTAGCTTTTGTAAAAGTATATTCTGCATATAAGTGAACTAGTAATGACAATTAACTGATGGAAATATACGTTTTCTTTTATTAAAAGAATTTCTGGACAGATTTGTAAAATGACTTAAACTTGTATACAAAAATAACTTTTTTTTTTTTGGGTCCGGTCGTGGGGCCTGAACTCTGGGCCTGGGCGCTGTCCCTCAGCACTTCAGCTCAAGGCTAGTACCACATGAGCCACAGCACCACTTCCGGCTTTTTTCTTTTTGCTTATGTGGTGCTGAGGAATCGAACCCAGGGCCTCAGGCATGCAAGGCAAGTGCTCTAC